CCATCTTGTATGCTATGCAAATTAACTTCACCAAAATCTCCACTGCTTGCATTCTAATTTGCAGCAAGCCTATCACCCCTGTGCTCATTAACTTCAATAATGTGTACTTTAGGGAGGGAAACTGCTGTCCTTACCTGGTCCAGTCTGCATGTGACCCATAGCAATGTGGTTGACTCTTAACTGCCCTCTGGGCAAGTAGAGGTGAGCAATAAATGCTGGTCTAACCAGCAATGCCCTCATTCTATAAATTAATTTTCTAAAAAACTTACATTGGCTCCCAGAAAAACAATGCCTTAATTATAATATTCTCATCCTTGTTCTTGAACCACGCTCTGGCCTCCCCACCCAGGACTGAATTTGCCTCCCTGGGTTTCCAGCCTGCTCACACATACTGGTGGCTAGAATGCAAATGGCAGACTTCCAGGAAATGGCCACCTCTCGGAAGATTGGGTATGGAGAGGGTGATCATGATGCTGGAGGCAAACAGGAGGCTCTCCAACATTGAAAGATCAGTGATCCCACTGTCAGAGCTGGGAGCTGCAAGATCAGGGAGCAAGAGGACATTTCAAGATAAAGAGCACTGTGTGGAAATTCTGGAAGGGGTAAGATGCATCGAGGCATTAACTGCAGTTCAGAAGGCCACCCCAAATCATTGGCCACTTTTCACACTCAGTCCTGCCTGCCCTCTGAGAAGTTCAAGATGACTTCTTACAACTGACCTCATTGGATAACTTAATTGGCCTACAAATTCAAAAGACTGTATATGCTAGAAATCTGAAATTTATAAAGCAAAGAATACTGGGGATAGTCAGCAAGTCATTCTCATCTCCACTGACTTTGTCTTTACCAATCTGTCTGTGGTAGGTTCATTTGTCCCTGATAACATCAGTACGAAGACCACTATACGATTTGTGTGGATAAGACATCCTGCCTTAAGGTTGAGGTTACACTGCATTATGTTATGTGCACTATCACTATGCTGAATGGGATTAATCCTGAACAGACATAGCACCTCAGGATTGGGCATCCGCGAGGAACTATCAGCCATTGACAGCAGAAACATTGTTTTCAATCACAAACTGTAACTTCATAGCCTGGCATATTCTCCCACTCTACCACAAGCTTGCAATTAACCCAGATTCAATGGAGAAATCAGCACCAGGCATAACTAAAACTTAAATGTCAACTTGGTGAAGTTACAGCTTAGCAGTTCTTACATTTCAAACATCATAAGCAGCAAGCAATAGAGTTAAGCAATCCCCCAACCAAAGGATACGTCATAGTCATAGAATCATAGAGATATACAACACAGAAACAGACCCTTCAGTCCAACTCGTCCAGGCTGACCAGACATCCGAAATAAATCTAGTCCCATTTGCCAGCATTTGGCCCATATCCTCTAAACCCTTCCTATTCATATACCCATCCAGATGCCTTTTAATGGATGGGTATTGTTTGCCTGGGAGCCAATGTGAGTTTCTTAAAAATTAATTTATAGGATGAGGGCATTGCTGGCTAGGCCAGCATTTATTGCTCAACACTCCTTGCCCAGTGGGCAGTTAACAATCAATGACATTTCTGTGGGTCTGAAGTCACATGCAGACTGGACCAGGGCAGGACTGCAGTTTCCCTCCCTAAAGGACACCCTATTGAAGTTAATGAGCACAGGGGTGATAGGCTTGCTGCAAATTAGAATGCAAGCAGTACAGATTTTGGTGAAGTTAATTTGTATAGCATACAAGATATGAAGCTCTGCCACATCCAGTCATAAACGTTATCAGACAATTAAAGGATCTACTGGAGGAGTAGTCTTCACAAATATCCCCATCCTCAATGATGGGGAGGACCCTAGCACATCAATGAAAAAAATAAAGCTGAATCTTTTGCAACAATCTTCAGGCAGAAGTGCCAAGGGGATGATACATCTCTGACTCCCCCAGAGGTGCCCAGCATCACGGATACCAGCCTTAATCCACTTCACTCCATGTGGTATTAATAAAAAAAGGCTGAAGGCAATGGATTCTGAAAAGCTATGAACCTGACAACATTCCAGCAATAGTACTGAAGACTTGTGTCCCAGAATTAGTCATGCCGCTAGCCAAGCTGTCCCAGTACAATTACAACAACAGCAGCAACTTGGCATTGTGAGAAATTGCCAGGTATGTCCTTTACACAAAACGCAGGATGATTTTGATCTGTCCAATTTTCATCCTATCAGTGCTCGCCAACATCATTAAACGGATGGAAGGTGTTGTTAACAGTGCTATCGTGCAACAAAAGCCTGCTCACTGACAGACAGTTTGGGTTCCACCAGGGCCACTCAGCTCCTGACCTCATTTCAGCCTTGGTCCAAACATGGACAAAAGTGCTGAATTCTAGAGGCGAGGTGATAGTGACAATCTTTAACTTCAAGGTAGTATTTGATCATGTGTGACATTAAGGATTCTGATCCAAACTGGAGTCAATGTGAATCAAGAGGAAAACTCACTGCTAGTTGAAAGAGGCTTCACAAATATCTCCATCCTCAATGATAGAAGATCCCAGAGCGACAGTGTGAAAAACAAGGCTAAAGCTTTTGCCACATGCCTAGCATAAAGCAAGATAGTTGTGATTATTGGAGGTCAACAATCTTAGTCACAGGACATCACTGTATGTATTGCTCAAGGTAATGTCATAGGCCCAACAATCTTCAGTTCCTTCATCAATTAATAACTATCCCTCCACCATAAAATCAGAGGTGGGCATGTTCACTGCTGTTCAACTTTATTCATAACTTTGCAGAACCTGAAGCAGTCCATGGCAAAATGCAGTATGGCCTGGGCAACATTCAGGCTGAGCTGATGAGTGGCAAGTAACAATCATGCCACGTGAGTGCCAGGCTATGACCATATTCGACTAGAATTTAATCATCATTAGGGCAGCACCTTGGCTCAGTGGTTAGCACTGCTGCCTCACAGTGACTGTGTTGAGTTTGCACATTCTCCCCTTTTCTGTGTGGGTTTCCTCCAGGTGCTCCAGTTTCCTCCCACAGTCACAAAAACGTGCAGGTTAGGTGGAGTGGCCATGCTAAATTGCCCACAGTGTCCAGGGATATGCAGACTAAGTTAGTTAGCCATGGGAATGCGGTATTATGGGGATAGGGTAGGTCTGGGTGGGATGGTCTTCAGAGGGTCAGTGCATACATGATGAGCTGAATGACCTTTGTCTACACTGTAGGGATTCTAAGATTCCATCACCCCTTTACATTCAATGGCATCACCAGTACTGAATTCCCCCAATATCAACATCCTGGTGATTACCATTGATTAGAAACTTGTATACTGTGTACACAAGAATAGATCAGAGGCTGTGAATTCTGTAGAGGAATGCCCTTCCTGATTCCTCACAGCCTGTCCAGGGAAAACTACCCACTTGTCTGGATGGGTGCAGCTCCAACAACACTCAAGTATCTCAGCATCATCCAGGACAAAGCAACCTGGTTTGATTGGCACCTGATCTAACATTTACTCCCTCCTCCACCAATGTTTGTGGCACTGGTTTGAAACAATTCTCAAAAGCTCCTTAGAAAACATCTCCCAAATCCACAACCTCTAACTGCCCAGAAGGATCCGGTTCAGGCCACACAACATCCTACTTGGAACTGTATTGCCATTGCTGCACTGTCACTGAACAGTGATAAGATCTTTAACAGCCTGGTGGGTGGCTAAGAAGGCAACTCATCAAGGGCAAGTACGGATGGGCTAGAAATGCTAGCCTAAGCAGCAATGCCCACATCTCATAAATGAATTTTATAAAATTACCTCACTTTGCTGCATTAATAGCACTATAAACATTCAAGTTCTTACTGTTTCTCCTTCCTGATTTTCTCACTCATGCTGACTCAATATGTACAAAACCATGATGTCTTCAAACCTTACAACATAATTATTAATATCATTAATATTTATTTCCATTTAATTTCATTCTGCCCATACAACCCCTTCTCTACCACTGAAATCTTTAAAGATAGAAAAGACAGGTATTTGCACTTACCTTGCAGTTAGCCATTTGTTACTGCTCAGTGCCAGCACTCTCATCTTCAGGTTAAACATTTATGGATTCAAGTCCTACTTCAGTGCAGAGCACAGAAATCTGGCCTGATATTTCCACACAATACTGAAGGGTCACTACACTGTTGGATGTGTCACCTTTTGGATAAACCATAACTTTCTCAGATGAACAAACAAGATCCCAGCGAAATGAAGAACAGTGAACTGAAGAATTTTCCCAAGTGCACTGGCCAATATTTATCACTCAACCAGCATCGATGAAATTGATTATTCTCTTGTAGTTTTGAGGAACTTGTTGTGAGCTAATTGGATCCTTCCCTACATCGCAAAAGTGACTATACTTTAAAAGTTTTTAATTGCTGTAAAGACACTACATACATGTATGTTATTTATTTTCATTTCAGTTTTTCATGAAGACAGAGGGGTGAAATTAGGCTTCAGCAGGGCAATATGGTGTGAAAGGGTTTGTCTTGGTCAATGTTTCTTTAAGAAACGACTAAGGTGTGACAGTTCAAGCTATCCAGCCCGGGCAATGTATCAAATATCTCTCTTTAAATTCACTTTTCATGGCTTGCCTTGTGCAATTAAATTATCTGGATGAGATAAAGGTCAACTTTCCTGTAATTCATTTGGTGTTTGCTTGGCCCTCCGTTCTACAGGGTGGCCAGCTCCAGACTTTAATGAATGACCATATTTTACAACTCACATCAGCCTGTAAAATTGAGGTAAGCTTCTGTTCATAATGAGCCATTATCCCAAGAGTGTAAGAGGCCAGGCAAATCCTCACACATATGGAGCAACTTTTTTTTTGTCGTCACACTTTCTCAGTGTGAGCCGAGCTGGTGAGGGAGTTAAAAAGGAATGTTAGGTCGGTCAGCTCTCCATCACAGCACAGCTGGACAAGTGGGCAGTATGTCCCGCTGGCGTTCCTAACCGTCTCTCCAGTCAATTGTGTCCCCTTAAACCCTACACTGGTCGTATTCTAGCAATATACCACTTCCCAGCTTCTTGAAGTACTGGCTTTCAAGACCCTGAAGAGATGAAGTGGGGGACTGTGTTGCTGATTTTCCGATTCCTCCTGCAGGCAGTTCCAAGCTTTACCGCCGATTCGGAACCAGAAAGTGAGTATCTGAGGTAACTGAAAGAGAGAGAATTTGATTTTTGACTTCGATTGCGAACGATCTTGCAGCACTTTATTGGAAGTCCTTACGCTCATTTCTCTAATTGCATCAATTGCAAAATTTTGACTACACGTCGTCACCGACCCACACTGTAAAATAAATCTGGATTGAATTAGTGACCCAGAGAAAGTAACGTGATTTCAAGAGAAATGGTAGGGACTGTGAGATTAAAGTGCAGACCTTATCATTAAGATGTTAAATGGTACACTGTGATGGAGAATCTAGAGATAAGCAAAGCAAACTTTAATTCTAAGCAACATGGTGCAAAATTTTCAAATCGGTTCATTCTTTTAGATTTTTGATGTAACGAGGGAGAAGTTGTATTGAAGTTGTTACCAAATGGAATGTCTGTGGGACTGGGTTTACGTACATGACCTGCACCTATTCAAATCCAGTCAAGTATTTCAATGGGATATTTTGGCCACAGTTGGTAAAGTACAAAATTGGTATGTTTACGAACAGTAATCGTAACCATCTGCTCCTGTCATTGGATAGTCATCTGTTTAATGTTAGTCTGTTATATTTAATTACTTTAGATTGCTTTGGGAGGTGCTTTGCCATATAGCAATTCAGAAACCTCTGGGGCTCATAGTCCGCCACATATACGCCCAGGTTCCAGTCAACTAAGAGAGAGTTCAGTGCCAAGATTAAGGAACACAATAAGAACATTTTTGTTTAAGAACATCGCTCATTTCCCTTTCGAAAATCAAAAGTACTTACTTCGACAAATCTGAAGTACTTTATGATGAGATTAGGCTCCATTCGTGCTGGAGATCAACATGTGATACAAGATTACAGCTTTCCCATCCAGCCACAATGGCTGGTGAAGGGGTTTTCACGCAAAATGACTTTACCGTTTAACTATAAACAAAGATGTTGTAACCAAATCGGAAAGAAAAATTTCCCGGAGTACAATGTTAAACGCCCACAACAGCGGGGCATGTAATATTAATTATTTATGAAAGTATCTGTAAATGATAGCATTTGTTGTAATAGTGTTCTGGCACTATTTCCAATGTAACATTTCTTTCATAATGTGGGTTAATTATGAAGATTAGCGACGGGCTATGGATCATGCTTTACTGACAACTGTCGCTTCATCTTGAAGGAGGGTTGATAGTCTTCTTGAACAAGGAACTCTATTATTTGGAATCTGATGTCAGACATTCTGAGCCCAATGTGAACCTCTTGATTATTAACTTCCATCAGTGAGATCCAATAGTTCAATTCGCATTCCACCATGACCCCATCTGTTCCTCAGCTATTGTTTCTGTAGCGGTCACAACGTAACGAAAACATAAAAACGATTGTGTTTGAGAGGTCGTTGGAATGACAGAAATACAGTGCAAGATGAAAGTTATGGTTGGCTCTCCAAGAGGGTAAGGATTTAACGGAATAAGGAATCACCACTGTTCGTAGATCATAGAATCCCTTCGGCCCAACAAGTCCACACCGACCCTCAGAACATCCCACCCAGACCCAACCCCTTAAACCCATCTAATCTGCACATCCCTGAACACTAGGGGCAATTTAGCACGGCCAATCCACCTAACCTGCACATCTTAGGACTGGTCTGAAATACAGCGGAAGTACTCTTGTAAGAAAACTTCACTAGTTTTACATTGGATAAATTTAATTTGTGGCTGACTAGACTAACATTTATTGCCTATCTTGAGAAAAACCGAAAGAACTGGGGATGCTGTAAATCAGGAACATAAACAGAAGTTGCTGGAAAAGGTCAGCAGGTCTGGCAGCATCTGTGAAGAAAAAAATAGAGTTAAAGTTTCGGGTTCTGAAGAAGGGTCACTGGACCCGGAACGTTAACTCTAATGTTTTCTTCATAGATGCTGCCAGACCTGCTGAGCTTTTCCAGCAACTTTGTTTTTGTTGCCTATCTTGAGAATGGCCTTGAGAAGGTGGTGATGTCCATGTGGTGCAGGTATACCCATGATGCTGTTTGTAAAACTCCAGCACAATTTAATATATCTACAGTGAAGATACTGCAGTGCAGTTCCAAATTAGGTTGATATCTGGTTTGCTTAGACTCTTGTGGGTTGGGTGGAGCACTGGCAGGTAGGGGCATGATAGTGTGCAACTTGCTGGTGATGTTCCAATTCACTTGTTGCCTTGGAGTGCTAAGTGCGGTATGGAGGCATAGCTACTTAAAGAGCAATACAGGAACGTTCAGAGTTGCTCTGAACACAGAAAAGGTATGGAGAAAAGGGCCACAGCCAAAAGACACAACAGCTGTAAATGTTTCTCTCCTGGTACATGTTGAAATGAAAGACAATATTAAACAGAACTGGCACAATAACAAAAGTATCAGGTTGTTACATGCCACAGCAGCTATAAGAAGCTACACTTCTATCACTGATAGTGAGAGACTGCGTTGAAAATGTATTCCATACTAAACGTCCCTGAAGAACAGAAAAAAAAACTGACTGCAGAAATGTTGCAAGCCTTGGGAGCATGCTTTGAAGCACAAGGGAATGTAATGTATGAATGATCTGAGTTCAACATTAGGGCCAAGAGTGAAAAGAGTCTATTGATCAATATGTGCCTGTATTAAAACAGTTCACAGAATCCTGTGAATCTGTGCAACTAAAAGATGATATCATTAAAAACTGAATTTTCTTAGGTATAAGAAATTCTATGATGACAGCACAGCAGTTAAGAGCAGATAATCTGACTCTTGAAGAAGTTAAAATATGTTTAGAAGCTCAGAGCAAGTAAATCAAGGACGTCTTGCTAAAACTACACAAGGCACTACCTAGATTGCAGCTAAAATACTGTGAACAGTTTTAGTCCCATTGTCTAAAGAAAGATATTCTGGCATTGGAGGCAGTCCATGTAAGGTTCTTTAGGTTGATCCTGGCTATGTAGGAATGTTCCCATTGGGTGTTGTTGAGTAGGTTGGGACTGTACTCATGGGAGAGAGACCTTATGGAAAAATATAAGTTACTTATGATCTTGGTACAGTAAATGCGAAGAGGTTGTTTCCCCTTATGGTAGAGTCTAGGATTAAAGGGCATCATCTCAGAATAAAGACTCTTCCATTTATGACATAGAAATGAAGAGGAATTTTTTTCTCTCAGTGGATAGTAGATTAGTGGAAATCATGACTGCAGAGGGCTCTTGAATTGAGGTCATTAAGTATATTCAAGGCTGACACAGACAGATTTCTAATCAGTAGGGGAATGAAGGGTTATGGGGGAAAAGGCAGCAAAGTGGAGTTGAGATTTATCAAATCAGTAATGATCTCACTGAGTGACAGAGCAGACTCGATGGCAGAATGACCTACTTCTGCTCCTGCAATACGGCCTTATGGCTTTACAGCACACATAAAAAGAGCACATCATTTCAAACAGCAGACGTTGGATAAAAAGTTGACAACCTGCAATTGGTCATGTAAATAAAGAAACTGATAAAAGAGGGACTAAGTAAAATAGCAAACAGTTTGTTAATGATTGATAACTGATGTTTATACATGCCTGCCTTGGGTAACTGAAAGTACAAATGCTGCTGCAAAAAAATTAACATTTTGTTTGTTATGAGAAAGGGGATATTTGGATTAAAATGCAATCTCATGCAAATGATCTCTGCAGCTTTCTGTTGTCATGTGAGTCCTTCCATGAATTGCACTCTATAGACATTCATCTTCCAGTTAATTGAAAAGAATTGAATGCTTCATTGACTGCATAACAGTGAGGATCAAGTCTCAGAGAAATATTGGGAATTATACTCATTAGAAAACTAAGGAGTAACATGTTCAGTATAAAAGATTGGTTGATCATAATCCCAATTGATAAATTGCATGAAAAGTATTTGTAAGTTTGTAAAATCTCAGAGTGATAAAGAATGTTAACATCCTCTAAACTTACAGAGATTACAAACCAGATTTTTGCTGGTCAGAAAGCTTTCTCCTCCAGTCTCACCATTGTGCTAAGGATTTAAATTGATGCCTGACTCTTTATATATTCTTTGGGCATAGGCATCACCGGCAAGGCCAGAATCATTGATCCATTAGCAATTGTATTTGTGAAAGTGGTGGTCAGCAGTCGCCTTGAACCATTCAGTTTATTTGATTTAGATGTATCCACAATGAGTTTGAGGATATTGACTCTGTGACAGTGAAGGAACATGGTCATGCAGTTGAAGGCAAGATAGATTCTCTTGTTGGAGATGATTATTGCCTGACACTTACGCATCATGAATGTTACTTGCCACTTATCAAGTATGTTATAAAATATATTGGTTTGATGGTGGAGACAGGAATTTTCCACTTGTTTCTGGAGGGAGCAGACATATCTGCACCAGTTCCCTAAGGTCCTAGTAATTATGCCTGACTAAATGTAGTTTTGCTTTTTGCCATAATGTAACAAACCCTCTTATCCAAGAACAGTACCTCTTCTGTAAATACTCTACAGTGGTCATCTCTAGATGACAAAGCCAAGGGAGGTTTGGTGGCAGTGAACTAGCTTAAAAAAAACTCTAACCCAGCACCATACGCTGGTAGAGGTGGCAAATACCACAAGCTGCAAGCTGTGGTCTTCTAGAAAAAAATACTTCAAACCAAGCAGGGATGTTGTCCAGGTGTTGCTGCATGCAAGCAAGCACGGATTGTTTCCTTATTTGAAAATTATGAATGGCACTGAACTGCAACCATCAGCAAATATCATCCCTTTTGACCTACAGACGACCTATAGGTCATTGACAAAGCCCCCGAAGATGAATGGACCAAGGACACTGCTCAAGACTTGCAGCAGTGTGCTGAAGCTGAGATGATGGACTTACAACTACCATACTATCTTCCTTTGTGCTCAGTAGACTCCAGTCAGCAGGGGTTAAACTGTATTCCTATTGACTTAAATTTTATTTGGACTTCTTGATGCCATATCAGTGAAAATCTGCTTTGTTGCTAAGAACTATCACTCATTACTGGAATTCTTTTTTTTTGCCCATATTAGAAATAAGGCTGTAATGAGGTCGAGAGCTGAATGATTCAATCACAACCCAAATTAAGCAGCAGTGAGGATATTGCTCAGTAAGTTTAACTTGATAGAACTATTGCTGAGGATTGAAAATAAATGGACCAGACAGGTCATATTTAGGCAATTTTACATGTGTTTTGGTCTTACTGAAAGTAGCTTACTAGGACTGCAAATAGTTTTGGAACACAGCTGGGATATTTCGGGCCCCTAGCCTTAGTTACGTCAAACACGAATCCTCAGTAACAAGTGGAATTAATCAACTTGACTGAAGACTGACATCTGTGTTGTTCTGAGCTAAGCAGTTGGCCAAGATGGATTATTCACTTGGCTAAAGATGGTTGCAAACACTTCAGCCGTGTCTTTTACACTGATGTTCTGGGCTGTCTATTCATTCAGAATGGAAATGGACATGGATCCTCCTATTAGGCATTATTTGAGGTATGATAATCCACTGCTGTTGACAATTCGATGTGGAAGAACTGCAAGGTTTTGATCTAATCAGTTGGATGTGGGAGTGCTTAGCTCTCACATTATTAAAGCATGTTTATTGGCTGTGATAGGGCATTGTCTAGTCAGTACTTCTAGTTGTTTGTTTTGACAGGAAGAATGAAAGAATAGGGTATCACTGGGGAAACCCAAGGTGCAGAGGCAATTAGATAGCCTTGTGCATGAATCACAAGAGTTAGCAAGCAGATACAGCACATAATCAAGAAAACTAATGAGAGGAATTGAACATAAAGGCAAGGACACTATCCTTCAGTTATGCAGAGCACTGGTGAGACCTCATTATGAATAATGTGTGCAACTTTGGTCTCCTTATTTTGAGAAGGATGCAGTTGAGGCTGATCAGAGGAGACTTGCTGGATTAATACTTGGAATGAGCAGGTTGTCTTATGAAAAAAGTTTGTACAAGCTGGGTTTGTTTGCTCTGGAGTTTAGGATAGCGAGAGGTGACTTGATTGAAGTGTATAAGACCCGAATGGTCTTAAGAGGGTAGGCGTGGAAAGGATGTTTCTTCTTGTGAGTCAGTCCAGAACTAGGGACACTGTTTTAAAGTTAGAGGTCACCCTTTTACTGGTTACAGACTTTGAACTTCAATGTTTGGGACTTCTGATAGCCCACTCATCCTCTCACATGTTCACGTGTAAATATAGCAGAGCATTGGAATGACTAAAAAAGAATTTAACTGGGGCTTATGAATGACAAAGTTAAATCATACTTAACGCTTGAAGGTAACAAGATAACGTGAGGATTGTTTAAGCTCTGAGTGAATGCATAGCCTGCCTGAATTCCCATAAGGAAAGTATAGTAGAAGAAGAGAACAACAACAGAAGTTGCTGGAAGCTCAGCAGGTTTGGCAGCGTCTGTGAAGAAAAACAGAGTTAACGTTTTGGCTCCGGTGACGTTTCCTCAGAACTGTAGAAGAAGAGTATTGGGCTGGACATAATGTGCCCTGTGCCATGCATGTTTTGGTGATCCAGGCACTTAACGTAGGGCATTTGCCCAGATCACCACATTCTCTCTCATTTCCAAGCTCACCCTCATAATGCAGTAGGTGGGAGGGTGGGGATGGCGATGGGGGGGGGGGGGGGTGGGGGGGGGGGTGGGGGGGGGGGGGGGCAGTGGTGGAAGGGTGGGGGGTGTGGGTGAGGGTGGGGGTGCAGATGCGCTCTCCAAATCCTACCCTCCAACACTTCAACTCCCACTCCGTCCCGCTCAACCACCACTCCCCTCCCCCCCCCCCAACCCACCCACCTCCACCAATCCCCGGCCAAACCCACCATGCCCAATCATCCTGACACACCTCACGGTGGGGATCCACTGGTCCTTCTTTGTTCCCCTTTCCCACAATCCTAACAGAGACCATGGTTGAGTTCTTGGTGATGTCAGTATTGCCAGTCAATTAGATTAGTCAATAGCTCTACAGAATGGAAATTCTTCCCATGCAGGGGAGCAAATCCTATTGTCTGCATATGTAGCCTGTCCACTCTGTGATATGACTGGGAGCTGGGTGTATTTTCAGCCGATCAGCAGAAAACCAATTTAAGATTGTCAGTTGGCCCTTCAATGTGGTGCGTTTGCATGAACTGGAAGATATGTATATATTACCCCACAAGGTCCAGGTCTTTGCATTCAGAAAGGACATGTACACAACTTGTACCTGTTTCAACTCAACGAAACAGTTGACAGCCTTTCTCTGGTTCATTTCTTAAGTTAATGTTTGATTAATCAGAATCAACCTGTTTGAGTCATATTTATGCAAAGCTTGACAGTTAACTATCAATACTTTGACCAATTAGAGTTCACTCACTAAATAATCAGCACTCTCTCTCTCTTCTCAGTATAAAAGGGTTGCTTTCTCTTTTCATTCATATTCCTCGCAAATTGTCCTCATGAATGCAAGACAAAATGCTTTGATAAAACGTGTCCTTTTAGCAATAGTCAAGAGCTGTACTACCAAATGTGTATATATAATCCCTGTTATTGTGAGATGAATGAACATTATAGCTAGATTGGCTTTTAATGTTACAGCTTCTGTATATTTCTAATAATTGTACAACCCCGATTTAATTTTTACTACATTCGGTTAGAAACTAGGAAACTTAATTGTCTGAGTGACAGAGAAAAGTTCTTAAAGTTACTTCTACTTGTTATAAGTCATTTTTCTGTTTGGCCCAGTGCCACTGTTTAAGCAGAAGTTTGGAATATTCTGTGCCTAATGAGCTTTTTCTTTTAAATTATTCTCCAGTTCTTGACCTTCTTTCTCTGTCAGAGCACAGAGGTTACATAGACCTGCTACAACAAGCTCTGACTGATCCCCCAGCAGTGAACGAATTCTATATCCTGGCAACGTTTAAACTGCAACCAAAGACACTTGCTGCCATTTTTGGACTTTATTCCACCAAAAGCAACATTAAATACTTTGAATTTTCCGTGTTGGGTCGACTGAATAAGGGTAAGAAGACATGTTTTAATCATTTTCAAAAATTCATTTCCAGGATGCAAGCTTCACAAGCAATACTGGCATTTATTTCCCATTTCTAGTTGTTCTTTAAAATGCTGTGGTGGGTCTTATGAACCACTCAGTATCAGTTGGTAGGAATCTCACCTCTGGTTCAGAAAGTTGTGGGTTCAAGTCCTGCATCTGGATTTGATCTCGAGTGCAGTACTGGGAGTCTTTTGGGTGAGAGGTTAAGCAGAGACCCTGCCCACTCCTTCCACGCTATAACTGACTACACTTCAAAAGTATATAATTCTGGGATCTCCTGTGGTTGTGAAAGATGCAAGTAATACATGAATGCCTTTCAAATATTTTCACGTGGCCGAGTGGTCCTACGATGCTGTGAGGGAGAAAGTTCTAGGATTTTGGCCGAAAAACAAAAAAACAGAAATATTATTCTGAGTCAGAATGGTGTTTGACCTGGAGGGAACCTTGAAGGTGAAGCTGTTTCCATGCACCTATTGCCCATGTTCTCCTGGTAGGGGAATTTCTGGGTTTTAGATGCACTGCTGAAGAAGTTTGGTGAGTGGTTGCAGTGTATCCTGTCAAGCTTAGTCGCTCTCACCTCACTGAGAAAATTCTGCCCTCTGCATACATTTAATAGAAAGCTGTAAAGAGGTCTGGAGTCTTGATGATGTATGGACACTGATCCTGGATTCAAATACAACACCAGGATTAGATACAAAGAGAATCTGCTTCATAAAAGCAGGGTGGTTACATTGTAAATGCACCTGTGGAAATGTCCCTGTCCTGCATCCCTTGGTTCAATATAACCAAGATTCAAAACACCCCATACTTTGCTGTTAAGAGAATCTCTAGATTTGTATTTTTCTGGCCCAGTAAAGAAGGAGGCACTGCTGGTTCCGATTCTGAGGAAATGAAGCGGGTCAAGTGGCATTGTGGAACATTTAGGAGACAATGATCATAGTATCATTAGATTAGTTAGCTATGAAATAGGATAAGATACAAGCCAGAGTCAAAATAATTAAATGTGAGGACAGGTAAATTAAAATGAAAGATTGGCTGACAAAGCAATATTGGAAAAAGGGGATGCCTTCAAAGGAGAGGTCATTTGAGTAAAGTTAGGATACGATGAGAAAATCCCATGACAATTCCCACGATAAGAAAAACTAAAACAAATAAATCCCGAGCACTCCAGATGACGACAGTGATAGAAAGCTAAGATAAGGAATACGGCAGATGTCGGGCGGTTACAGCAATTGAGATCAAGACTGAAAATAGAAGGTTGAGAATGGACATGGAAGAAAGAATAATGGAAACATCGTGAGCATGAGAAGAGACTGGCAGCTAACATATTAAGGACGCCATTAGCCTTGTAAAGGCATATAACATTTAAAATGGTAGGAAAAGGAGAATTAGGGCTGACTGAGAGTCAAAAAGAAGATATAGGCATAGAGACAGGAGCAATGCTGAGATACTAAATGAATACCAGCAACTGTCTTTATGAAGAAAAATACTACTGCTTAAGTCATTGTGGAAGAGAAGGTAGTTAAGATACTGAATGGGCTAAAAGTTGATTTTCTATATGGTTCTATAAACAGGTTGTATTGGATAAGTTGGCTGTGCTTAAAGTTGACTTATTCTCCAGAGTTCAGAAGAATAACGATATTTCCATTAAAATACTCAAGATTATGCAGGTGCTTGATAGGGTAGACACTGAGATATTAGGCTGAATTTTACATCTCTCCCTCAAGTGTGCTTTGAGCAAGGGTTAATATACAAAACAGCGTGGTGGCTCAGCCATTGCTTTCCCACCCACCCTTTGGCTGATGCGCAAAATACCCATCCTCCATCCCCTGCCCCATCAGGCACTCCTCCTCCTAATATAATGGAATCAGATTGGCTGACAGCTCCAGGGGGAAGGGTGTCATGTCTGTCTGACAGAATTCCTCTTCATCTGTCAGCTGTGAAGCAACTTTCCTTCTGGGGGAGGGGCATTTGGGGATGAGGGTTAGAGACATGATCCCAATTATCCTTCCCATGTAAAATTCTGTTTGTTTGTTGCCCTGGATGAGAATTTAGACAAGCTGGTGGAATGGATGGCCAAGTTGACTGATGAAATTTAAGTCAGAGAAGAATGAAGGCATTCATTTTTTTTGTAGGAAGCATAATGAGAGATAAATTTAACACAAAGAATACAATTCTAAAGGGACAACCAAAGCGAAGGGACTTGGAGGCATATGTACATACATCATTGAAGGTGGAAGATGGATTGAGAAAGTATTCATAAAGCATATGGGATCCTGAGTTTTGTCAAAGGTAGCATAAAGTACAAAAGTAAGGAAGTTGTGATGAATTTGTATAAAATCCCAGTTGAGCTTCAACTAGAATATTACATGTTGTTCTGAATACCACTCTGTAGAAAGGATGAGAAGGCATTAGATAGTGTGCAGAAAGGTTCATAAGAATAGTTCCAAAGGTGAACAACTTCAGTTACATGGACGGATTGGAGAAACTAAGCTGTTTCACTTAGAGAAAAATAAAAGATTTGGTAGAAGACTTTAAAATCATGAAAGGTCTGAACAGAGTAGAGAAGGAGAAATTATTAACTACCATTGGTGAAAAGGTCAGTACCAGAGGGCATTGACTTAAGGTGATGAGTAAAAGAAGGAACTGTGGTGTGAGGGGAAGTATTTTTACAGTGTCTGACGTATTCTGGTCGAAAATTCTGGCCGTGGAGGAAGATTCAAAAGAAAATTGGATAATTATCTGAAGTGAAAATATTTCTAGGATGGTGGAGAAAAGGTGGGGGAGAGGTACTAACTGAGCTACTCTTTCAGAGTTCTCGTACAGGCCCAAATGACCTCCTTCTCTTCAGTGACTGAGTTTATGTTCAGTCACTGACCATAAATATCTGCTGCCTCACCAAGATTGCTTCCTTGCACCTCCTTAAATTGCATCTTTCCAGTCCTGCCCCAGCTCATTTATTGCTGAACCCCTCATTCTTGCCTTTGTCACCTCTTGACATGACTGTTTCAATGGCTTTTGTGATCAATTTCCCCTTTTCAATTTACACAAATTGAGCTTATTTAAAATTCTGCTGCTCCTATCCTAACTTGTCCCAAAGTTTGTTCACCCACCACTGCAGTGCACATTAATCTACATCAGCTTCCAGTCCCACAATTCCTCAAACATAAAATTCTTATCCTTGATTATGAATCCTTCCTTGACTATGCCACAGGCCATCTCCTAGCTCCTACATCCTCAAGACCCTTTAAAATCTCTAGTGCTCCTCCAATTCTGGTCTCTTGGAAATCCCCAATTATAACCACTCGCCAGTGGTGACCATGCCCTTCGCTATATGGGTGCTAAGCTCTAGAAATCCCTCAGTAAACTTCCTGCCTCTCTATCTTTCTTTGCTTCTTTAAAATGCTGCCTAAAACTTACTACTTTAATCATCTGTGCTAATATTGCTTATGTGGCTTGGTGTGAAATTATGTTAAAACATCCTTCAGAGAAAGAATATCTAATACATTAAAGGAGCTATGTAAGTGCAAATGGTTGTAGTTGTAGTGATTCATCAATGCCGAGAAATGATCTAATTGTAATTGCAGCCTGAATTCCATGTTTGAATCTGACAGCGCACTAAAGTGGAATAATATCCCCGGGAGAGGAATTCTCATCTTGATTCACTTCCGAGCCATTTTGAGCTTTAACATTTTAGAAGGTGAACATTGGTGTGATGCTGTATTACACTGACGCTAATCTTATACTACAAATGCATCATTTTAGCACTTGGAGCATTTAGCCACGATTCAGGTCACCATTTGCATCAATCTTGTGTGCGAGATTATATCTTGTAATGAGGTAGATAAGCTGCACTCACATATTGCTAAACATATCCACAAAGCCCTGATAAAGCTAGAAAACAGCTTAAAACACAGCAGGCCACCTCAAACAAACACAGAGAATGCTGGAGAAACTCTGCAGGTCTGGCAGCATCTGTGGAGAGAGAGACGGAATTAATATTTCGAGCCTGGTATGACTCGTCTTCAAACCACCTGAGCCCTTTAAAATCTCTAGGTGGACTTAGTACTAACTCTTCAGACAAAGTGAACAAAGAAAAGCTGTTCGCATTGGCTGATAGCGCAAGGATTTGAGAACACAGATTTCAGGTTTTGGCTGGGGGATGCAGGGTGGATGTGAGGAAGTGAAGTATTTACCCAGCGAGTGCTCACGAACTGGAACACACTGCCTTGCAGTGACCAAAGCCAAGTCAATGAACATTTTCATAAGGAAATTATATGGGCACTTGAGGGGAATAAACTTGCAGGGGTACAGGGGTAGAGCAGACTATTGCCTTGTTCTCCAGAGAGCCAGAATGGCCTCCGTCTGTGCTACAATGAGTTCATGACTCTTACAGAAATATTAATATTATAAACATTTGAGCCTCTATTTTCCAGAGACCTCTCCTTAACTTCCTCCAGGATGTTCATTCACTTGTGAACAAAACCATTGCTAAATAGATTTGTGTTGGGGTCCATTACATTGACAAAGTGCTTTGACAATAGTTTGGCTCCAGAATAGCTATGCCTTAACTGAAGCCTCCCTCCTGATGATAATATTTTCCATTAAATCTTCATCCACTTTCAAGTATTGACACTGTGGTTCTTTTTGAATAATCACACTTTAATATTTCTCCATGCTACCAATACCTCTTATTTCAGGCACCTGACCTTTCCCCACCCCTCTAACACCTCCTTAACATTTCTTCTATCACTCCAATCTCCATCCTGGGTTTTATTTTCTGTAAGATATCCTTCCTCTTTCCTCCTTTAGCCTCTGTAGTGAGAGAATCCCTACCCATATCATTCTTCATCAGAATTAACCTTCCCAGTTATCCACTAATTTCACACCCTCCCTCAACCTTTCCCTTCATATACACTCTTGCCTCCATACTCATGACAACCCACTCAACCTTGCCATGTGACATTGTTTCCCTACTCTCTTCATCTCACCTCCAAACACTTTTTCAATTCCACCGTTACCCACATCCCTTTCTGCACTTCCAACACTATTTCCATCTGTATCTGGCACTGGAAAAGATCTACAATTCCCATTGGCCCAGTATTTGGCCAATCACTCACCATAATACTGATAATTTTCTCAATGACTCCCTAGCCACCACCTTTGATGGAAGGTCCCCGAGTAAAGTCCTTACTTTCTTTGATCCTACTTATTCAGTCTAGCCTGGCCTCTGTCTTTTTCCATCTTTGAAATCAGTAGATGAGACTTGAGTGTAGTTGGTGGGTAATTAGTTTAGCCACCCATCACCATTTTTACCTAGATCCCATCAAGAGCCATTGGGTCTCAGCTTCAGCTATCCACTACTGCAAGATCGTCTTGGAGAGCAGTGCTACCCTCTGGCTTTTATTTTCTGGTTGCAGATATGTCCTTTCATCCTTCTCACCTGTCTCTTTTTCCAAATGCACCTCCAACAACAGCTGCTATAATTGATTTTTTAATGGAGTTTTCAATTCCCTCATAAATTCAGCTCCTTGTAATAAAGTTTGGGACATCTGTTATTGGATACCATGGTGAACCGTAGATTTATTATGAATTCTGAAACTTGTTTTGTATGTGTTGAGTATAAGTGGGAATTGAAGGTATTATCCTCCTGCTTGTATCAGGATACAGGGATGGCCTCACTCGCTTCTGTTTTTGTTTACAGCCAGCCTTCGCTATGTGAAAAATGATGGGAAGCCCCAGGTGACCACGTTTCACAATGTCCAGCTGGCAGATGGAAAGCGCCATGCTGTCCTCCTCAGACTGAAAGGCCTGCAGCATGGGCCAACTACAGCTGAGCTCTATGTTGACTGTACACAAGCAGGCATTGCCCACAATTTGCCAGCCTTGTTCACTAAAATGCCACAGACTGCAGACTCTGTTGAAATCCGAACCGCCCAGAGAAGAGCACAGGTATGCCTAGAATAATCAAATATTCAATTGTAAGTTATACAATTCATTTCCATGGACTGGGGGAGAGGTGGAAGTGCAAACCAATGGTACTTTTCTAAATGTTAAGTGAGAATTCTATTCAAATTGATTTTTTTTTAATTGAGAAAGTAATGGGTTGATGACTAATTATCAAAAAACAAAGAAAACAGTTCCCCTCATTCTTCTAAATTCCTGAAGAATCCACCTCATACCTCCTAGCACTAACAGGCAGAAAGGTCAAAGGTTTTTTTTCAAGAGCTCAACTACTGCATGACAGTTTTTCCTTATTGACGGCTGGTTTACATCTGGATGTGTTTGCCCATTTTCTGCATTCAACAACTGTGCCCTAGATTTGTGCCATGTCGGAGATGCTCTCAAATTACAAAATGGTAGACAATTCTTGAACTCGCATGTCCCAAGCTGAAACACAGCATTTCCCATTTTCATGAGGATAGGTGTGGGTTTGCATCAAGATTTCTGTTTGTGCAGTTAACAGAGGCAACTGGCCATGTAAATCTTTAGCTGCCTCCACTGAAGAGGAATTTTGATAGCCTTGGAATGTGAATCCCAGTGTGCAGAGTCGACCCAGTAGGAGCAAATTAGAAGTTGGTGCATTTCTTTCATTATTCAATGTGCCCCTTTGAAGATGTTCGATGCACCTTTGGGTCTGGTCTCAGGTCACTTGTTGAGTGCAAGGTCTGAGATGCCATATGGTGAAGGTCAAATGCCATTGGGGTAAGCCAAGTCCCTTTTAGCTGAGTTTAGGAATTATTAAAAATAGGCATCAATTTGTGTAAAACATACATACATTCATTAGTGTTGTGCACATTGGATTGTCAACAGACCTGTGGAAATTAACTGCCAGAAGCAAGCATCTGTCAAAGAGACCTATTAAAAGCAACAAGATGGTCTCTCAAAGGGAGCTGTCTAGAGGCCATTGAACTGCATCTGTATGTTTTGTCCACTGACTCAAATTGTCTAAATCATCTTGAAGCCTCCTTATATTCTCCTCACAACCCCATCCAGTTTTATGTTATTAGCAATTGGAAATGTTGCATTTGATTTTATTAACTTCAGCCCCAGCGCTGACTCCCTGAGGCTGGCCTCTTCACCCAGATGGCCTTGGTATCTGGCAGCCTCTTCAGTTCTCCTGGAGTTGCCTGCCCTGAATTCTAATGCAGCCAATTGAATTATTCCCATCAATGAAGAGAGAAAACCGTCGGATCTGCTAGCTTTCAAACCCCAGTCCAAGCTCCATGCCTGCCATTGTGGCCTAGAGCTTTGTAAACCCAAATTCTGACCCAACCGCCACCCAGAATTTGGGCACCCTGCTTTAAGCAGTTATAGAGTCAGAGTCAATAGAGGTCTACCGCATGGGAACAGGCACTTCGGTCCAACCTGCCCACGCTACCCAGTTTTCACATTTAAACTAGTCCCATTTGCCTGCATTTGGTCCATATCCCTCCATACCTATCCCATCCATGTACCTGTCTACATGTTTCTTAAATGACAAAATTATAGTTACTTCCACCACTACATCCAGCAGCCTGTTCCAGACAATTCTCCACCCTCTGTGTGAAATAGTTGCTCCTTTGGATCCTTTTTTAATCTCTTCTCTCTCACCTTAACCCTATGCCCTCTAGTTTTAGACTCCCCTACCATGGGGAAAAACTGTTGGCTTCTACCTTCTCTAAGCCAGTTGGCTTTCCCCAGGGTGACCATCACTGAACACTGAATGGAGAGCACTATCCATGGTTGTCAAGGTCATCTTGGCCCTTAACCTTCTGCAATGACTTCCTTCGAGATTGCAGCAGCTTATGGCAGTAACAGATCTTGATTGCTGTGTGGAACTCTATCTGGGAAATGCCTGAGTTTCATTACACCAGCACCTGTAGCATTTTCCCAAAGTTAGAGGAGGGAGTGTTAGGCTTCCCCAGATTCCAAGGAGCCCTGTGAGCTCCATTTTCAGTCTCTAATCTTTATGATTGGAGAGGGATCTCACTCCACTAATGTTGTCTTTGTTGGAGATCACAGACTGCACATCATGCAGGCCTATGTCTGACATCAGAGTGCTCCTAACACATCCTAGGATTATACTATGAATGTAAAAATCGAAGGGGCATCCACTCATTAATATTTCAAGGTTGCTGCAGTTCAAGCCATCACGATGGAAATTGGAGTTCAAAACATGTGAAATGCCCACTCTGAGATATACAATAAGAAATTTATATACACATAAACAAGGAAGGCTGATTTTTCTAATGTGTGCAAGGTTTCCCTGCCACCTGACTATATGCATAAAATGACTCCTGTGACACGTGCTAAAATCATAGCATGTTTAACGTTTAAAATCCTGCTGAATCCCTGTTTCCATAGCAATCTTATCCCACGAAGTAAAGGCTATTAATCATTGGGTAAAATTCAGTGATACAGGTAAGAGCTCTGTCCTCACACAGATTAGACGGAATGGCCGGGATTCTGTGGGAGATGCATCTACAGCATTTGTTAGGATGATGGAATTGCTGCTCCCTTATCATTCAACGAGATGCAGAGCTGGATGAACACAGCAGACCAAGCAGCATCATAGGAGCAGAAAGGCTGATGTTTCGGGCCTAGACCCTTCATCAGAAATGGGGGAGGGGAAGGGGGTTCTGAAATAAATAGGGAGAGAGGGGGAGGCGGATAGAAGATGGATAGAGGAGA